TGATATATTTCATTAATCCTAAAGTATAGGAAAATATGAATAAGTTATTATGATAATGTTTTTTACTTAGCAAAGCATCATTTTTACTTCATGCTATTATCTAGTGAGCAAAAATTTATTATTATTATTTTTCTACTACATCGCAATAAGAGTGTATTAGTTCGGATAATTATAGTAGCTCTTTTCTAATAAATTGCAACATAACTGTATTGGTTCACATATTTATATATTGTCGTTCATATAAACAAAAAGTTAAAATCTTCCTGTTCTAGAATACGAAAGAAGTTTATTATTTCTATTTGCTTTTTCATTTTTCAATTTAAAAAAAAAGCACATGTCAAATTATGTAAAACTTAGAATTTTGTACTATACCAGCTAAATTCAAACTTTCTCAGTTTTTTTATTATTTTTAAAAATTATCAAACATGTAAACTAAAAATCTAAAATAGGTTATTTGTAATATTTAATTATTTTCTATCATGGCTAAAAAATATAATACAAAATTTTATCCATGATAGTTTTTATTGTGTAATGTACAGAAGTCAACCATTAAATAAAATAAAATGTTATTTGTTGACCATTTTTCTATAAAATGAGTATTATTTGTTGTTATTAATTGTATCAATGAAATTTTATTCTATTAGTTAAACAACTGAAATGTTTACAGTTTGAGCTCCTAGATTGCATGATTACATGTTAATTATGGTGATTGATATAGATGTTTTGTTGTGATTAATAACATCAAATCAACTTTATCTCATTGGTTGAACACTTGAAATTATGACAGTTTGAGCTCATAGGTTGCAGGTTCAAATCTTAGTCATGATGGTACATATACATGTTTATTTAGTTTTATTTTAATGTAATTAATAACTTAAAAATGTTAAAGGATAGAAATGACATGGGAAATTGTTAAGCTTTCTTTGTCCCACGTGGCAAAAACTTTCTCCACTCTTTATCCTACGTGGCAACTTTCTCCACTCTTTATCCTACGTGGCAAAAATTTCTTCACAACGGTCATAATATAAGTTAAGATAAGATACTGGTCTAGTGAAAGTTTAGGAGGTTAAAAGTTTAGTAGGTTGAAAACTAGGGAAAAGAAACTATGTATCACCACTGACCCAGCAGTGGCCTAGTCTGCATTCTTCTTTCAAGCAAGGCAATGCAACCAATTCAGTGAAGGTATTCCTACTTCCTACATCTTTCACGGAACTAGCTACGGTAGCTGCCATATCTGTGGAGAAGTAGAGCTAGGTTGGTTAACGTGACTGCATTAGGTCTGTCTCACTTGGATTTGTTGTGATGGTGCTTCGTTATGACTCTTATTTAGTTTTATTTTAATGTAATTAATAACTTAAAAATGTTAAAGGATAGAAATGACATGGGAAATTGTTAAGCTTTCTTTGTCCCACGTGGCAAAAACTTTCTCCACTCTTTATCCTACGTGGCAACTTTCTCCACTCTTTATCCTACGTGGCAAAAAATTTCTTCACAACGGTCATAATATAAGTTAAGATAAGATACTGGTCTAGTGAAAGTTTAGGAGGTTAAAAGTTTAGTAGGTTGAAAACTAGGGAAAAGAAACTATGTATCACCACTGACCCAGCAGTGGCCTAGTCTGCATTCTTCTTTCAAGCAAGGCAATGCAACCAATTCAGTGAAGGTATTCCTACTTCCTACATCTTTCACGGAACTAGCTACGGTAGCTGCCATATCTGTGGAGAAGTAGAGCTAGGTTGGTTAACGTGACTGCATTAGGTCTGTCTCACTTGGATTTGTTGTGATGGTGCTTCGTTATGACTCTTATTTAGTTTTATTTTAATGTAATTAATAACTTAAAAATGTTAAAGGATAGAAATGACATGGGAAATTGTTAAGCTTTCTTTGTCCCACGTGGCAAAAACTTTCTCCACTCTTTATCCTACGTGGCAACTTTCTCCACTCTTTATCCTACGTGGCAAAAAATTTCTTCACAACGGTCATAATATAAGTTAAGATAAGATACTGGTCTAGTGAAAGTTTAGGAGGTTAAAAGTTTAGTAGGTTGAAAACTAGGGAAAAGAAACTATGTATCACCACTGACCCAGCAGTGGCCTAGTCTGCATTCTTCTTTCAAGCAAGGCAATGCAACCAATTCAGTGAAGGTATTCCTACTTCCTACATCTTTCACGGAACTAGCTACGGTAGCTGCCATATCTGTGGAGAAGTAGAGCTAGGTTGGTTAACGTGACTGCATTAGGTCTGTCTCACTTGGATTTGTTGTGATGGTGCTTCGTTATGACTCTTATGAGGCCGTTTGAGTGTGTTTAGGCTAGGTGGCACTAATATACAAATCCTCTATTCAAGATAAGAATCACGAATTTTTTGTCCTAACCTTAACGACTATCTTGATCCGCTAAATCAGATGTAGATCATCTTTGATCTACCAGACATATTCATATCTCAAATCCCGAGGTCACCAAATGAGGGTTCACCAAATGTACATTCACCGCATCGAATCTACCGAACCAGACTCGGATACCGCTTGTCGAAATCGGGCAGCTCAATTAAAGTACAATATTGTTCGCTTTGGGCCAAACCCGCACGATTTTACTTTTGTGTATCATCCCTAAAAAAATCTCATACTAACTGGACTAGATGAACACTAAAATACAAGATTTCTTTCCCTAACATGCATAGTAATAACCGTCAAGCAGAGGTATGTAATATATAAGTTGAGAGACTTGCAAGAGTCGAGAGACTACTTCAATTTTACAAAAGTAAATATGGAGAATTGAGCAAGACATAATTAAATAAGATATTCAACTAAGTTTCAACTAAGGCTGTAAGTTTGGCCCTATACACGCACAGGTCCGACCAGATTTTGAAGGTCGGGTTGGGTTAATTTGTTTACAAGGCTACTTTATAGTTGGTTCATCTTTTGATCTTGTAAGAGCCGAGTCATTTTTTGCCTATGACCCATAGCAAGTAACAACAACTAGTGATATTAAATTTGTCATACAAAGACATTGGTAAAGTTTTAAGAGTTTGCGTACTATAATACAAGGTAAAAATATAAAGGTTAAAAAATATAATTTTACCACCAAAATTTATGGACTTTTTGTAAAAGCATAAATTTTAGGTACTCAATTGTAAGAAAATTTGTTTGGTATGAAAAAGTAATTTTCCAAAAAAAAATTGTTTATTAATGTGAGCCGACTCACTAGCCACCAGTACGAGCCAAAGGAAAATAGGGTCGGGCTAGGTCAAGTTAGATACTTGACCCTATAGGGCCAGGTTTTTTGGGTAGAGACATGGTCAGTGTTGGATTTGGCACAGTTTCACTTTCACACATAGTTTCAACCCTTATTCGACCTAGTACGCGGGTTAAGGTTCAAAATATTTAAATAGGATTAACTCAATTGTTTGAAATTCACGGTGAGAAGTAGAGACATAAAGTGTTTGAGAGAAAAATGAGATGAAGGATTAGCTAATTTACTTGCTCATTCAAATGTTTAAACTGGCCAATTTTAATTAGATTTCACCGAATTCAATTTGAGGTCGAGTAGGCGCATACAGAAAACTCGATACAAGGTTCGGTTGTAGTCAAATGAGGTTCAACTGTTTAGTTTAACCTCAATTTATCTATATGATATGAAAATGCAATCATGTCAATCACCTTATTGAGACCGCGACCCTATCACATCCCAATTCATGACAGTTGCACAAATTCGACAACTCATGGCGCTTTCAAGTTCCTTAGTTTCATTAGCTCATTCTTTGCCCTTGCCATAGCATATTTCCATGCACTGCGATAATCCCTTGGATACTAACTGCATTTTTAAGGATTGAAACCTCCATATTAATGCATAAGGTTTTCTCAAACACTGTTATTAGAAGAGAAAAAATGGTTGTCATTAATTTGGTAAGGCATCATGCCTCCACCAAATTGCACTAAACCAATGATAAAACCCTAACCAAATTAATTTGAAGGCCAAGTAAAAATGCCACTTTCATCCCAATTCAGTCTGCCACTTTCAAATCCGAGGTTAAAACTGGTTTTGGCTCCGTTGAGGCCATGTGCAGAACCCAAAAAGACTGTTTACTTTCTTAACGCTAAACAACAGTAAACGACAGCTGCAGCAAACAGTAAACAAGGTGTTGTCATGTAGTACAGTACTGAACCATCCTTTTCCGTGGCTGGCTGGCTCTGGCTGGGCTGGATACCCCAAAACAAAATCATATCAGAAGAAAGAACAGTGTATTTACCGCCCATGACGACTCTTCCTTCATTCATCGTCAGTTCTTCACCAAAAAGATTTCGGGAATCAACACGTCGGCACAGGCAAATTTGGTGAAAATCTGGGGCACCTTTCCTCTCTTAATTGAATTGATTGCACTGACCCTATACTTCTTACATTTATTTATTGAAGTATTAAACCAACGTAGCCATAACTACTACAGTACTCTACCCGACGGACAGACACGTTGATGGGATTGGACGAGATGAGATCCGGTTGCAAAATCCCAAGAAGATAACTCAAAAGTACTAACAGAACAGGGCATCATCAGCAAAACCCAAAAATGAAAATGGGCCAGTGTTGACCCAAAACAGAATACAGAGTACAGTAATGTAATGGTGGTTGGGACTGTTGATTTAAATTTTCACCTTCATTGAGTCAACCACAATGACGGTTGGATTCATTTTCAACCAGACATTTTGGCCAAAATCCCATTGAACGCAATATGTACAACAGATAATAAGACGCAGAGAAATGAACCAAAAAACCCTCCATGTGGCAAATCGTATGTACAGGTAGTGGATACTACAGTATGCAAAGATGCAACAAAATGGTATGCAAAATTACAGGACAAAACTCATCACTACCCAACTAGCTTTTCTTCTTCTTCCCTCTTTCTTCTAACTAGTACTATCGATCAAAGTTGAAAACAGAGAAGAAACGCTATAGACAAGAAAGTTGATTAATCGGGATTGAGGAAGAAAGAATTGTGACGGTGATTTAAGGGTTGTAGAGATGATCACCACAGCGACACTTCCACCCAAGTGGCTTGTAGTTGGAGTACCTGTTTCCAGGAGGATTGTAGTACGGGTCGAACGACTCGGTGGTGCCAATTCGTGAAGAGGGACCTGGTTGAACTCCGGCGTGGCTCGGCACGGTCGGGACTTGGACCGCCATGCAAGGGGGATGGCAATGGGTCGGGTCGGGTTTTGCCAAACCCAAATCCAAATCCATGGGTTTATCTTTGAAAAAAAACCGAGGTAAAACCCATTGGGTTTGAAAAACTCAAACCCAACCCAACCCATTGGGTATCCGCGGGTTCATGGGTACCCACGGGTTTTGTCGTAAAAAATTTATAATTACAAATTCTTATCAAAATTAAAGTCAAATATCAATCTCTCAATACAAATTATCCATATATAAAACATCATTCTAGAAAATTCAAGCAAATCACAAATTAATTATACAAATTGTTCAACACCAATCTAGAAAACTCAAGAAAATTGAAGCAAATCACAAATTATCCATAAATAACATGTTTAATTGAAAGCTTCTTCCTTTCAATTAAGTTTCTTTACTCTCCACTCCATAACATCAACTTCATTCTACACAATTAAAAAGAAAAAATTAGACATGTCTCCACAAACATAAATAAGATTAGTTGTTTAGAATATTAAATATACCGAAAAAATTAATTATATGAGTGGGCGGGTACCCACGGGCCGGGTTTACCTAAACCCAAACTCAACCCAACCCGTTGAATAGTGAACGGGTTTAAACCCAAACCCGGCCCAAAACCCGTCAACACGGATTTTACCCGCGTTGACCGGGTTGGGTCGGGTGGGTACCCATGGGTTTGGGTTTTGTTGCCATCCCTAACCATGGCTACTTGGCTAGGCTAGATACTACATTTTACCAAGATTGTCAAACGAGTTTATACAGGTGTGTTGATTTCACAAGTGAAATGATTCGACTGATGATAGAATGGGTTTATTTAAGTTCATGTTAGTTTAACAAAATTTCATGTGAAAAACATATTAACATCAAATGAATTTAATCATATATTAAACATAGGGTAAATGCTCAAAATTAATCAAAGCTTTCCAAGTTTGGGAAAAAATACCCAAATATATGCAAGATTCAATAACATAGCCAAATGTTTTAGATAGACATCTTTGTTAAATTTGCTGGCATGGCTAACAGTTTGGTACACATGGAAGCCACGTAAAGCAAAACAATATTATTAAATTAAAATATTTAGGTCACTCTACTCTTACTCCTATCCTCAAATTCAACGATATGTTCACTCTTTCCTCTCACCGGAGTTTCTCACTTAATTCTTGGCTCACAGCCGGCAAGAACTTCCTCCAACTCGCCCGCGACTTAGATCCTTGGCTATCATTGAAACCACCTTGAGTCAGGCTTGGATTGTGTCATCGCCGATGTACTGGATGAAGGACCAATCATGGTTGAATGGATCTATATTAGTTGTTGATGAGCCCAAAACTTGGTCTGAATTGAATCAAGAGTTGCGCAGCCAACTCAATCAATCAAGACGATTGATCAAGCCTCGAACAGAGTCTCAAACAAGCTCGGATGAGCTAGTTCGAGCTTCAATGGGACGGAAACAAAGGGGGAATCTCACACCTGGGAGATTACACGATCGCTATAGTGATGCCTTCGATATAATTGAGTGTGTTTCTCAATCAATAGGCTAGGGTTTCAACAAGTTTTGATCGCAACCAAAACCAACTCGAACTCACAACTCTCACGTTGGGAAATTTGGGGGTTTTACTCAATTTCAACTCTGAATTGTACAATACACGATTGATGCCGTTTATAGGCTTAAATAAACTCAAACAAAACTAACGACTACGTAAAATTAACCTAATTCAACAAGGAAACTAAATTACACATGTAATCCGAATAGGACTAGGAATCCTTATGGGATTCGGATTGCTGGCAGTTCGAGAGAGCTTCTTTGGGAGCCTAAAAAATGGTCTTCCAAGCTGAATCAGTCTCATCCAACTCTTTCCCTGGGTTTAGAAAGTGTTCTAGTTTCCTCTCCAACTCGAATCAGCATCTGGATGTGTCCCAAACTCCAGATAATAGGGTTCAAGTAGGCACCTTGAACTCGTGAATTGCCTTAGCCAAAAATAGGCAGATTCTCGGTTTTGACTTGGTAACTTGGAGAGCTTCAACCATGGCCTTCCATACTTCATCTTGAACTTCTAGACGATCCACATAGTAGAGGAACACTCCACCTTCAAAACAAGCCATCAAACTCGAATTTTCATTGAATGAATTGAACGAACCAAGCCTCCAAAGTCGGTCACCTCAAACATCAAAAACACTTAGCCAAATTTTATGTGCTTTGTTCCTCATTGACCTTGCTTCTGGACGAATCCATGGAAGCTTCAATGGCAAGCAATTTGGGATCATATCAGGCCCCTCCTGTTGAAAAAGCTTTGCCCTCAAAGCTTGAGCATTCTTCTCCTCAAAAACATTACAAAATTGATCTCGAATTGGATCCAATGTAGGCTGCTCGAACACCATGTTCTTGAACTCGAGAGCACTGTTCTTCGTCGAGCAGATTGGGGCTTTCGTCCTTAGGGATCTCCAGCACAAATCGAAACTGCCCCAAGCTTCGCCTGGCTTCCAATTGAATTTCTGTACCGGTTTCCAGTGTCGACTCATCTCCTTCAACGTCGAATCGCCAACTTGAATTTTCCCGCCATTGTCGTCATTAAAAAAGAAGGAACCCTGATTTTCGATTTCGATTTTGGGGCTTTTGATTTCAGGTATCGCCACGTTCAATTGCCAATTTCTAAAGCTTCCTGGGACTTCTCTCAATGATTCCGCATTATCAGTTTGGATCGAATCGTGCCCAAACTCTTCAACCAATAACCCCAAATTTTGGTCGTGTTTGCTCGTTCCTAGGGGCTTTTTTTGCTCGAATTCGATCCATCGATTGAGGTTGAAACGATGCCAATGAATCCATGTGAGAGCTTCTCGGTGGTCCAGGGAAGGTTTCTGCACCGCTGGGATGGATCGACTTGCATCTCAAGTTTCCACCCAATAGACCCTCTCTCCTCCCCTGCCTCGTCGTCGACGAGGAATAGAGCTGCTGCTTCTCGGGCCGGTGTGGGCTTCTCTCTTGTTGTAGCGTAGTGAGCACCAGCCTTTCAGTAATTAAACTTGTCCTTGTACCCTTCTCTTCCTTTCCCTAAGCTCGATTGAACTCCAGTTGCCTTTGGTCGTTACGAACCTCGGTCGATGACAGAAATGTTAGTCTGAGCTTCTTCCCTTCATGTTGGAAAGTATAGTAGTTTGATCTGCCATGGTGGGTAACTCCATAATAATACTGCCAAGTTCTTCCCAAAAGGACATGAGCAACGTGCATAGGAGCTACATCACAAAGAATTCGATCCTTGTATTGATCGATTTCAAACTCAACCCATGTCTGCTTCGTCACCTTCACAGCTCCATGATCATTGAGCCAGTGCAGGCTGTAGGGATCGTGATGCTTGATAGTGTTCAAGCCAAGCTTCCTCACTGTCTCCAAGCTGACGGCGTTGGTGCATCTTCCATCGTCGATCACCATGGACGTCGTTTTACCTTGAATTTGGCAGCGGGTATGAAAGAGGTTGGATCGTTGTTGGGTTTCACTAACCGCTTCAACTGTGAGAGCTCTCTAGTTGACTAGGAAATTCCCTCCTGGAGCCTCCATATCAATGGCCTCATCAACCTCTTATTCAGTGGATTTTTCTTCATGATGCTTCTCTTCTTCCTCACTCTCGGAGTAGTATTCTCCATCACGAAGGACAAGTGTCTTCGTATTGGGGCATTGGAAGGATTTGTGCCCTCGGCCATGGCACTTAAAACACTCGAGCTTTCTCGTCAAGCTTCCAGCACAATCCTGGCTTCCTTGTGGAGCAATTGGCTTCAATTGTATGGGTCGATTTGCAGGGGGAATAACGACCGGAGCAGGCTCAAGAATGCTGCGTTATCTTGGCGTAGAAAATTGCCTTCCCTCGGTGTGCTTCAATTGCTTCTCGATCTTGATCGACAGGTGGATTGCATCTTCTAGATCAACAAAATGGCGTAATTCTACCTCATACATGATCTCCTTGTTCAATCTAGATAAGAATCGTGAGATTGTCGCCTCGAGATCTTCTTTGATGTCGGCTCTGGTCAGGAGTAATTCCAATTCCTTGTAGTATCCGTCTACTGTTCTTGATCCTTGAAGAATTGCCTGTAGGGATTCATGTAATTCTCGCCAGTAATATGCTGGCACAAACTTTTCGCGCATTAAGCCCCTCAACTCATCCCAGGTCGTCACCTGAGCCTGCAAATTACGTCGTCGCCAGACATGGATTTGTTCCCACCAATGTGCGGAGTAGTCCTGAAACTCATAGGTGGCTAAGGCACCTTCTGGGTTTCAGAGTAATGTCCACACCGAAAGAACAAGAGAATCTTACTCTCCCAATCCAGGTAAGCTAACGCATTGTTCGTCTTATGAAAGGTTGGGATTGACAGTTTAATCCCCCGCAATTCGGACACCGGAAGTTCTTCCTCTTCACATTCAGTCCGGTGGTAATCGAATTGGCCTCGATTCCGGAATTTCCTGTCATCATTGGGAATCTCCAGAGCCGTCAATTGACGCTCCAATTCCTGAACTCGCTCGGCTAGGACTTGGTCAGCTCTCGGGTTTCGATTTACCGGCGGCGTTTCAAAATTTCTCGGCTGCGTAACGTTGGTATTGGGAAAAATTCGGGCTCCTGTTTGGACTGTCTTCGTCGTTCCTTTTTGCCGATTCAGGGTCGAGACTTGTTTAGTCAAGTCATCGAATCAGACTATGAGAGCCGCGAACTTCTCGTCTTGCTTCGTCAGTTGCACCTGAACGATTGAGGCCTTTTACTCCATTTCAACTCTGAATTGTACAATACATGATTGAGGCCTTTTATAGGCTTAAACAAACTCAAACAAAACTAAAGACTACGTGAAATTAACCTAATTCAACAACGAAACTAAATTACACATGTAATCTGAATAGGACTAGGGATCTTTATGGGATTCGGATTGCTGGCAGTTCGAGGGAGATTCTTTGGGAGCCTCAAAAATGGTCTTCCAAGCTGAATTAGTCTCATCCAACTCCTTCCCTGGGTTTAGAAAGT